AAAGGGATGACAAGAGGTGGGAGTGAGAGAGAGCACAAGCGTCTCCATATGGGATGTTGATGTTGTTTTTGTTGTTTCTTGCATGCAATTGATGCTGCAAGCTTGGACTGCCGCAGTCGCACGCACACTTAAACAGGCTTCTATGAGGGATTTCCGGTGCGTGCGTCGCTGCTGAAGTCGACGTAGCAGTCGCAGTCGCTGTCAACACTGAGAAAAACTATAACGTCGACAATTGCCTAGTCAATATAAAAATACGGTAACTGGTAAAGGAATTAATGAACTCTTAACTCTTTCAACATAAAAAAATATGTTTAAATCCTTTATATTAAAAAACTTTATACTTTTATAATCGTGAAGAAGTGTTGTTGATCTTATGCTTCTGAGAAACGTATAAAAATATCACGATCGTTAAGATAAATTGTTCTCAGTATGTTTACTTAGCGTCGTCTGCGCCTGCGCATTGTTATTTTTTGCGCCAACTGCAAATTATACGTTACTTTCTGCACATTCTGCTGGCTGGGCTGTTATTGTTATTATTGTCTGGTGTGTAGAAAGGGCATATGTTTGTTTTTGTATTTCTATTTCTGCTATTGCAGCAGCGGCACCTGCTACCCTTTCACCGTCCCCACACCCCGCTCAATCCAAACCGATCCGCGACTGTTGCTCAGCATTAACATCACGCACAGCCCTTCCAATGCATTATAATTGCTGTTTTGTTTTTTCTTATTCTTTTCGCTATTTTTAAACACGCATGAGGAAGGGACGAAGTATATGGCATATCCAGAAATATGAGCATTATTTTGAAGCCTAGTCGAAGGGCACGCGCTATTCCTCAGCACATCTGCGATTTTGGGGTAGCAGCTGCCCCTGGTTTTTCCCCCTTAATGCGCCCCGCTTTTTATGTCTGGCTTTCCAGCATTTTCCTGCCATTTTTTTTGTGTGTTCTTAATTAGAAAAAATAGGGGAGCAGCAGCAGGGAAAAGAACCCAAAGTCTAGACGGTTTTAAGCGGAAACTCAATCTGTGCTCTATTTTTAAAGCCGTGTCCCTCATATTCTTCAAACACGTGCCCCCCAGTGCAGTTTGGATTACAAAAACAAAAAATGTATAAAAAATCTAAAAGGAAATTGCTTATTCTAAAAGGTCCTTCAATTACCATAGGAAAGTATTTACCACTCGAAGAACCCTTTCTCTTATTCTCAATCACTTTTTGTTCTAGAGTTCATTCTCTGAATTTTAAGTGCTGTCACTTTGAAGATTCCGCTCTTTAGAATTTTCGAACTTTTCTAGTTTCGTTGCGTAATTGTGTTTCGGTGTTTCATTGGATATAGATTGGGATCTTAAGAGATACAGCTACTCACCGCAACAGAACGTATCCATTTCAATATTTTCCACTTTCAGCAACATGTTGTTTATTAATTCCAAAACCTCAACACGACACGGCACAAAACTTAGATCATTATCAAAGGTTTTTTGGCTATAATATATCAACTCTTCACTGCAGTTTCTTGGTTTGATTTTATTTTGGATATTCAACTGCGCATGAGCAACGCTTGGAGCGTCAAGTTGCCACAGTCCTTCAACTTGGACTGGCAAAAGCTCGGCTCTCGACTTGGCTTTGGGCCTTCTACCGATAGTATTGAATGCCAAGAATATCAATTAGCATTCGCTCTCTTCAATCTGATAACCCCTCTTCACTTTTTCTCTTTTTCTCTTTCTCTCGACTTCGGTAATGGTAAACACGATTAACGTACGTGCCGTGACGTTTAATTGTCAATTTTAAATAAGCCTTTGATACCCGAACCACCTCCCTTCACACCCCTCTCCAAAGCTATAAACGGAGTTATGGCTTTTTAAGCGATCAACGCATCTCCAAGTGTTTTGTTTTTTTTTTTTTTTTCGCTAGCTTTAAACAACTCCCGTGGGTTCCGTTTATGGGAAGGCCAAACAGTTAGGAATCGCATTGGGAGATGGGCGAAAAATATACTTGTAAACATATAAAAATATAATTTTTATTTACTGCCATTTAAATGACAGCAGCAGCAGCAGAAACTCCGCACAAGGGCAGCAATAACAGCAATAAAATAAGAAATCATCGTAAAACTTAATGCGGCGAGAAATATTTTGTGTAAATGGCCAAGCAAAGATGGCAAGTTGATATGGCTTTCGGGCAGGTTAATTGGTTATAAATCTTAAAGGGGAGTTGGAAATTAAGAGATGTTTTTATATTATATTTAATTTTGTTTATTTATTCATGTTTTTCCACCAGCAATCTCCCCTACTGATCAAATCCCTGATCTTCGCTTTCCCATTTTTTTTTTTAAATAGTCGCAAGACAAAAAGGAAAAAAGGGAAACCTCCAAATTGAGACGTGAGCAAAATTTTGGTAAAGTACATGATTTTTTTTTTGGTAGAGTAGACATTATTATCCTACCAAAAATTATGTTAATTATACCCAAGTCTTTGCTTAGTATTTATGAATGCAACAGGTGTTGGTCTGAGCCGCCAAGGAAGACACTTGAGTTCCTCGATAGGATTTATTTTTCGAAGTGCCTTATTTTTCGGGCTGTTTGATATGCGCAGCGAGGAAAGGAAAAACGTAACCCCCAAGGCACAGTCTATAAGTGTATTGAACCCCCATTGAAGTTGCTGGATGTGGCAGCACACTCTCGGTAATCTGATGAGCAGATGTTCCGGGAATTGAAAACAGAAGCCAGACGCTGGGGAAGAAAGAAGGGTAAACAAGTGCATTTATGCATCGGGAAAATGTGAAAAGGGGAGCAGAATGCTACGCTTCTGTTTTGGATTTGCTGGATTTTGGATTTGCTGGATTGTTGGATTGCTGACCCCAAATCACCTGCTACATTCCGCAGCTACCAGTTCGCAATTAAAATTGTGTAAAATTGATAAATGGCATATCCAGAAGTTCGAAGTTTTATTGACTCTGAAGCGCTTTTGATTGGGAAATCCGAAGAGGAAACATGGCCAACGTAAACAGCCCGTGGGGCTTTGATGTATTCACAGTTTGTGCTGCCAATTTCTCGGTATGGTAGAAGGAGGAGGGCCAAATTTGGCCAATCGTTTTGGTTGGCACGAGCCATATGCAAAGCAGTTGGCCACCCAACTCCCCTTTTTTTTTCTCTCGCTTCCGTGCCATTAACACGTTTGAAGCATACAATATACCGGAGTCGAAGTCGGGAGTCCGAGTCCGAGTCCGAGTCCGCCCATCAATTATGCAGAGTTCCGTTCCAGCAAGTTGATTTGATGTGTGCCTTATTGGATGTACAGTTCTTCAATTTATGCTCGTCATGCGACCACACCCACTACAGCCCCCCTTTGGCAGGCGATTCGTTTATTGACTCCGATTGCCCATGTTGCCCATCCGCCGTGTTGCCACCAACATAATAACAAACTGCACAATTTGCCATTGTTATTGAAAAAGCGGAAATGCGTATAACTCTTGCCCCTACTGCAGTGGCACACTTGCAAATATGGTAATGTTTTTCAGTTCAAATTTGTTTTTCCTATTTTCTTTTTGCCATAAATTTAGGTGTTAAAACTGAATTGTTCGTGGGTGTTGTGGGTTAATTGCTGATTGAGGCGAATTGCCTAGTTTCCTGCATATGGCATAAGATTCGAATAGATTTCAATCGACCATAACAATAACTGTGTCGAATATAGTAGGGGAAAAGTTGTAGAAAAAGGTGCTATGGCCAACTGTTTTTATAATGGATAATAATAATGATAACAAAAAGGAACTGCTTGTCATTATAGTGAGATCTGAGGAACATATTAAAATCTGTTGCTTAACTTAAGTATCTTTTGAATACATTTATCTCCTTGAGAACTGAAAGAGAGTAAACTTGGATCAACTACCCACCTTAAAACCCATCAAGAACTTCTCTTAGATCTCTCTAAACTCGAAAACAAAGCTGGTTTTATCCATCACACAAAGTGCTTTAAATCAACCCAAGATTATCCATCATATCGCCAATGTCACGAAAGCGAAACCTTGAAAACGTTCTGATGAATACGCAAGTGATCGTTCAAAGGAGTCCTGAGTCCCACTCATAAACCATAAACCCATGACGTTTGCTGGATATAAGTGTATGTACGAGACTGTGAAAATAACCAGGAGAATCATTTGCATCTGGCATGCAGCTACCCGCTTTAGGGGCATCCATCACACGGAGGACTGTCAATGTCAGGCCAGTCGCAAATGTCAGTCAGCCAGGAAGGCGTGTTGCCAACGTTTAGCTGTATACATTTGCCATATACATACGATCCACGATCGTCTCATTACGCCACATAAACGAAGGCAAAAAACAAGGGAAAAACAATTCCAAAACAAAGATTGGCGACGCTCTGGCGACAAAACTTGATTACAATTATCACTTGCGTAAACATTGCAATGTTGTTAACGTGGCTTAAATAAGGGGGCTCAGATCCATGGCGCCTGAAAGGCAGTAGCAGTAGCTGGCAGTAGCGCTTAATATGCAAACGTGATTGTTTGGTAGGAGGAGTTTAAGGGGAAACCCCGTTGAAGGGATGACTTTGGCGGGGGTGGGGAAAAGGGGGAGTGTACGCCTGACAGCCGCCAAAGTGCAAAAATTCGAATGCGAAACAAGGGCAGGGAATGCAATTTGCCAAACACTTTGTCTTTGTCAATGGTGCGGCAAAGTTTGTGGGGTAAGAAAATAAAATAACTTTAAGGCTATATAAGACTCAAGGAATGCCAATAACATTAATATAAATAGTTAGGAAGATTGCTAATTAACATTTAACTACAAATTATACCTAATCTTGTATCGACAAAAGTTAACCACAATTATTTGAGTTTAACTAACAACCTGTTGTACTTTTACAAGGGAAAGCCTCGCTAAACGATTACCATTTACATGGATTTTTTCTATTTATTAGAGTCAGATTAGCATAGGAATTTGCGATTGCCCTGTGGCATACTGAACAGATGGAGAATGGAAGTGTCAACGTCAAACTCACCTCTTCGTCGATGAGAACTGCCTCGGAATTTGTTCGGCGAGAGGAGTGGTGGCCGGGGCGCCATCATGCTGGGCACCTCATCCGGAGATCCAAGACCCATTGCTCCAGAGTTTTGTTGATGCTGCTGTTGCTGCTGCTGTTGATGTTGGGCCCAGTTTCCCAGGGAATGGCGACGAGCTCCGCCACTTGGCAGGGTGTGATGTCGATGGGATTTGCTACTGAAGATTTGGCGGAAAAAGTGTTGGAGGAGGAGAAGAAGTAAAAGGCCAACGATTAGCACAGGCGGAAAAGAGGGCGGTTCGAAACTGTCAACAGCTGCAATCGCATCCTGTCATCGCATCCCCATCCCCCATTAATTTTTCGATTCTTGGGATTGCTCACCTTGTTGGCGATGTCAGCGGATTGAAGACCTCGTCGTGATCCCCAGCTCCTCCACCGGGACACTGGGAGCTGTGGGTCTCATTGCAGGAGCCCAGGCGTTCCCGGAACTCCGATTGCGAATTGGAAGATCGCTGGCGATACATGTTCATTGGTTGCATTTCAAACGAGTGCTAAAAAAAATCACAACGGAAGAGGGCGGCACATTAGAACTCAACAGGAAGTGGCAGATTCAACAGATAATTCAGAATCAGTATTCCGAAATCAGATCAGATACATGCACCATTAGCCTAATACTCACTTGCGAGAAGCCGCCGAGGGAATTAAAACTGCCGCGCGGACTTCCGAATGCCATGGTGGCCGTTGAGTCCAGATTGGCGGATGTGATCAGACGCTTCTGTTCCGGATTGGTCGCCAACATCGGCCGGGGACTGCTGCCTTTTGAGTTTCGGCGCTTGAAGAACAAGAATCCCCGGCTGGAGGACTGAGAGTCTGGGGTGCGCGGCGACTGGGTGTCATTGCAAAAATAATAGGGGTTGTCTGGGGAAAAAATTAGAATAAATTAGGAGGAGAGTTAGTTCTCTGACATTTCTCTTCTGATTTAAGTAAAATTGCTAAAAGGCTATAATAATAAGCATAGGTATTGTAAGGGCCAAGATTTGTGAACTTTTTCTGACCGAAATAATCACAGAATTTAAAAGAAAATCTCGTTTTATTTTCGAGAAATATATTTAAGCAATCTAAACATATTTATTTTCTGATTTTTAAGTTTATAATTAAACTCACAACAAGCAGACCTTAAAATAAGTATTACAAGTCCAATAATAAATGTGGACTAATTTTCTTGGTCTCAAAAGTTTACCTGAGAAAAAGGTGTTTGTGTTATCCACAGTGACAAACATCTTGAGATCCGTTATGGAGTATATCTTGCTTAGTTAATATGCGATTGGCAGAGTCTCTCACAATTCAGAGCTCTGATTTGCGATGCATTTGCACTTTCACTGGCTGCGCATGCGCACGCGCCAAAAAGTTGCGCACAAAGCGCGAATTTAAAAATCAGAAATTCGTAAACACAGCGATGTGTGCCAGAAATGGCAGACAGCACAGCACAATTGTCAGTTGATAAACGCGGCAAATAAATTCAAATTTAGGCGGTAAAATAGCTTCGTGTGTTGTCCAACTTGGAGTTTCACTTCACTTAAGTTCGCGCAACGCGTGCGTCTGCATTGACATCCCGAAACGGAATAAATTCTAAAACTTCAACGAGAACAAAACACTCCGCTCCGTCTGCATTTTCCTCTGCCTCTGCCACCGCCTCTGCCGGCGCAGAGAATCCCTCCTCATGTTTTGGTTTTTATTTACCATACGCGCGCTTCTTCATCCATTCCATGGACGTGCATAGCACACTGGGAGAAATATATGATCGATTTCTGTCTCATATCTTTTATTAAAAAGTTCTTTAAGACAATTCAGAAATTTTAATTTCTAAAATTTATAGATTATATTTTTGGTACCATTGTTAAGTTTTTGATTTTTTCCAAATATTTTCTGCTTTTTGAAATTATTACTTCAAAATTTTTTGATTAATTAAAAAAACAGTTCTATACAAATTTTGCAATTTTATTTTTTGAATTTCTAGAGTTTAATAATTTTATTTAATATCCATATATTTTCTCGCAGTGTAGCAACATCAGCAACAGCATAAAAACATTGTCCCTCTCGCCCCTCGTACTCTCGCCCCTTCTCGCTCCCACCCGCGCACGCACACACGCATACGGGATCAGTGTTTAAATATGGTTGCCATATTGCCATCACCCACTCGGTATACACACATCCACTTCCCCCTTCTTGCCACATTCAACCGATCGGCGATCAGGAAAACTCACTTTTCCTCAACTCAATGACAACTTTTGTTGTTGTTGTACCTGCGCATGTTTTTCTTTTGCGTGCGCTTTTCGCATGATCAAATTATCATTGCCAGCGTTGTGAGTCCATGATTTCGATTCTCCTGTCTTTCCCATTTTCCATTTTCCATCCGTGTGCGTACGTTTTGTCTTGGTCTCGTCGTGAATATTTGATGAGTTCCGATAGCAGAAATAGAAGACCCATAGCATCTGAGGTGAGCTCCCGGTTTTAGTATTCCCCGTGTCCTATCAGTGTCAAAGTTTGAGTTTGTCCGCCGAGTGTTGTCTGTGGTTGGGTTCGTCGTCGTCGTTTCGATGATGTTTTGTGTCAGGAAACATTTATGAGACGGTTTTGGGAGGGACCCTGAGAACTCACCTTCTCAGGGCAGTGGGAGAATTATTCTTTTGATATGTCATGGGAAAAAACCAAAAATTAATAAGACAAAAAGACTTTGAGATCTTAGAAATTTGATGATAAAAGGACAGTTGTGATATATTTATCAAGAAAATTGTACTAACATATCTTTGATCTTTAAGATAAATAGATTATAGATATAGAGATATACAGATAGAGCTATAGATTATCAATCAATTAGATATCTGATTTTTTTTGGCCTCAAGATATAATATTTTTCCCATTTTTACCATTTTTCCACAATATTCGCAACATTTCCCTTTTCAGCTCCGTTGCAAACATGAAAATTGTCATCAATGATGGGCCGAAAATAGAAGGCCATAATAAGAGCTCTGGCCAGGCGACATATTCCAGGCATATTCAACATTAAGGGGAAACTCGAGAGCATCAAAGGCAAAAACAAAAACAAAAAGTACGCGCATCGGGAAAGGCACATTAAAAATTGCAGCTAGCAGAGCGAGGCAACAATTGTGCTAAGGGAACACATTTTCACTTTTCTCCAGAGTGCAGCTAAGGAAAACTGAAACAAAAACTGAAGTGGCAAAATGCTAGGAGACTCCATGTGGTCTGTCCGTGGAATTCCTAAGTGGACTGGGCCTACCATGGATACTGGGCCGAAAACGAACCTCTAACAGACAGATGCCCGGCATATTGGGACCTATGGAAATATCGTAAAAGTCGAGACCCGAGGAGAAATTGCACATTTCGTAGTCCATAAAGGCGAGAGTCTGCCAGCGAGGGTTGATCTTTGAGTGGCTCTCAGCAGAGCAAGTGACTCGGTAACACTACACTGGGAAAATTGTGTCTATATTCTGGAAATATTTCTTTCAAATACATTTTGCTTTAATCTATCATTCCTTGAAGAATATTAGTTTTAATTTTTTGCGATTTTGAGAACTTCTATCTTAATATTTCTTAAGATTTTTCTTAGTGCCTTCTTATTTGTTTGGCTGCTGGTGGATGCAAATGATCTTGAACCGCGCTCGGGTACTTGTACTTGCAGCCGATTGCCTTGTTTCGAAGTACTTGGGGAAATGCATTTGCCTGCACATAAATGTCAAATGCTTGTCTTCGCCAGCACGCTCCACGTGTTCCCTGGACACAAGGAAGGGGGCACAGCTCAGGGGCACTGGAATCAACTGTCGAGTCGTAAATCTGTAGACGCTCTACTGCCGCCCAGCTTTGTCTAGTTAGTCACAAAACAGAGCATCATCGCAGCTCGGCTTTGTGCCGGTTTTCTAGATTGGGCGCCATTCCTGTTGCACTCTCCCTGATTGTTATCCAGCGATGACAGGTTAATTACTCCTACGCACTGTCTATAGTTCAATACGGAACCCCTTTGTTTTGTGATTGTTGTTCTGTGGGGTCAGTTTCAGTATTTCGATTTACATTGCACATCGAAAATCTTAGCCAAACTATTTTATTTAACAAGCTGTTTGATCTCACAAGGAAAACTTTTCCTTTAAACATTTAACCTCTAACCCAAAATTTATTTTCACTACCTTAATTCCCTGTAAGTTTCTTTTTGATCAAAGACAATATTGAACAAGTAATTACAGGGTAATAAAACCACATCGAAAGAAAGCCCTAAACGGCCCGAACAAATACACAACCATATAATATTAGCAATCAAATGGAAATCCGACCAGGAAGGTCTTTGGCCAAACAGGAAGGCAGAAACAGCGTTGGGGGAAATGCGTAATTGTGAATTTTTGATTTGTAATATTATTGTCGTAAATTGTCTTGGCATCGATTGGCCAGACAAGACCTTCCTCACTGTCGGCACACCCCATTTTATGCAGATATATAATTATATATATACAAGCTCGTATATGAAAGGGCCAGAACAGGGGTCTCTAACATTTGTTTGCCACTTGCAGGAATATTGCGTGCATTGGTTTTTATTTATTTTGTTGAATTTTGCTTCTATTTATTCAGACAATTTCATTCGAATTCCGAGTAGTCATACCGACCGACCTACACCCCCTCTCATGCTACACAAATTTTTGAATCATTTATGTGCACTACGAGTTTTCCTTCACGTTCAATTGAATCTTTTTGTTTATTATTTTCCAGTTTTTATGATTTAACCCCAAAGGGGGCAGCAGAAGGCAAACAGGAATTCAGGGGGGAAAAACAAGGGGGAAATGCAGGGAAATGATGTCTGCCCGGAAGTTTGGCAACATGACGCGACACGGAGTCAGCAGGGGGGCCCCATAATTATTATTGTTATTATTATTATTATGTTATGAAAAATTATTCATGCCCATTTTGTGGCAGGTGCTCACGATCGTTTTCTCTGAAATGCATTTCCACGCGTTTTCTTTCAAAATTATTGAAAACATATTTTTTGTTTCTTTAATTTTTAGCCATTAATTTTGGCATGATTTATGGAAATGTTTAGAACTTAATATTCTGTTAAGATTTGTTTGTGTAAACATGTGTTTGTATAAACGATTTTCGATTAGAAGTTTCCATAAAAATAAATTGAGAATTTCTTTTTTGCTAAACAATAGAACTATTAATGTTTTTTTGAAAATGTGTGCGGGCCTAGAATGTTTAGGAAATTCCTTTTGTAAAATGTAGTTAAGATTTATGGCCTTGCCAGGTGGCCACTCTAGTTTTTTCATGAAATTGCTTTTTCCATTACTAATAAGCTAAATATTTAATTTTTCAAATAGTTTAAAAACCAGCAATTTGCTAAGTTTTGTTTGTGGGAAAAAAGTTTATGAATAATGATCTGAAAAAAACTTTTTCCAAATGATTCAAAGACTTTTCTTTGTTATTAAACTTTAAAAATTTCCATTTTTCCATACCCGAAGATGTTTTAGAACATTCCATTTAAGTTTCAATTGTTTTAACACTACATTGTCCATTTTTCCGGCATTTGATTTATTTTTGTAGAGATCATAAAATCTGTTCTAGCCCAACTTGCCTGCTTTAAAATCCAATAAAAATCATATCCCAAAGTGTTATTTTAGTTTCTGCCCTTCCCCAAGCCCATGTCAGAAAACAACCAAAAAAATAACAAAAGTCCATAAAATAGTTGTGAAGAGTTCCGCCCACGGAATCTGTTCAGAGGCTACAGTCTACTCAGCGGAAGTAAAGTGGCCTGAAAATTGAGAAGCCGCCTTTGTCGAGTGAAAAACAACAACTTGCCAAAATGAAAATGAAGAAGGATGCGCCCAAGGATTAGTAATTAAAAATTCCAAAACACAAATTCAAGAGTTTGGCCATGAAAAGGTTTCGAGGGATCGCGGCACGTGGACTCCATATTAATAACCACTCGAGAAAAATCCACAACGGAAATGCCAAAGACAAAAGGGACACATTACCAAAAACACAGGGCCCTTCGAAAGTCACAAAGGAAGGGATGTGATCAGGAAGTGAAAGCAGGGAGAAAGGTGAGGGACAGTGAAGATTGCTTTCTCTACCTGCAATAAGGGAGTGCTACTGCTAGAAGGTGTCGAAGATGCAATCTGAAATCAAATAAACACTTTTATGATCTTGGTTTTATGGCCTGCGTGTCGTGTATTTGTCGCCAGTTTGTGGTTGACATGATCGAAATTTCTTAGGGGCGGTGGACTTTTAACCCATTGTTGCCAAATACCAAATGCTATTTATAAGACCCGGTAACAAAAAGGTGTTTGGAAATGCATAAAATGCGCTCTGCGTTCATAAATCCCCCGGCAGCAGCAACAACAGCATTGGCCACATCTGTTCAACAGATTTCAATTCGATACCAAAGTCGAGACCCGTCAGTCTTCGAACATCTCGGGCTTTGGACAACGGCAAATGTTTAATTATTTTCTTAATGGAAACTCGCACCGAGCACATGACAACGTGGTCTTCCGTGAAAAACAAAAAACCCATAGCCCAAAAAAAGAAAAGTCGGAGTCTACACTAAGAGA